CAGGGCACTCCATCCAACTCTCCTAATTTAATTAAATAAAAAATAAATAAAAAATAAATAAAAAATAAAATAAATAAATAATAAATAAATAAAAATAAATAAATAAATAGTAAATAAATAAATAATAAACAAATAGGTAAATAATAAATAAATAAATAAATAGTAAATTAGTAAATAATAAATTAATAAATAATAAATAAATGAAAAAAAGATAAATAATAAATAAACAAATAACAAATAAATAAAGGATGAATAAGTAAATGAATAAATAATTAAATAATAAATAAGCAAATAAACAAATAATAAACAAATAAATGAAATGACAAATACCAGTAGTAAATAATGAAGAAAGGATACTCGATTTAATTTCTTTTATTTCAAATAAACAAAAACCCCTTTTAAGTGTTTTATTTGCAGCAGAGTCTCCGTGACAGCACACAAACCCTAAACCCTAAACCCTAAACCCTAAACCCTAGGAACTTCAGCGTCGGTGCTGCTGAGGTGTCTGTACACCCCAACTCACCCTCCTTCGCCTTCGCCTGCTCCAGCATCCCACTGGAGAAGTCCGTGACCTGCACCACAAACCCTAAACCCTAAACCCTAAACCCTAAACCCTAAACCCTAAACCCGAGGCCCTAAACCCTAGGCAGGGCCGAGGAGCTTACCGTGAGGCTTTTCACCTTCTTCTTGTCATAGAAGCGAAAGTTACGGCCGGTGCCTAAAGACAAAGCAGAAAAGGGTTTAGGGTTTAGGGTTTAGGGTTTAGGGTTTGCTGCTTGGCTTTGGGTGCAACTGGAACAATTAGGGTTTAGGGTTTAGGGTTTAGAAACACCTGCTGCTACTTCTAAGACATTTCCTTCCGCCTGCTGCACCAACTCCTTCCGCAGTTTCCCCAGACGCATCAACTGCACCCCACACAGCACACAGCAAACCCTAAACCCTAAACCCTAAACCCTAAACCCTAAACCCTAGAAGCAGAGCAATCCGTTGTGGCTCCATCTCACACTCCTCAAACCCTAAACCCTGAACTTATGCACCAGAGGAGAGAAACGGAGAAGGGAAAGGAACTAGAGAGTGTGAGACCTTAGGGTTTAGGGTTTAGGGTTTAGGGTTTAGGACTAACGGCTTCTTGAAAGAATACATGACTGTCCCACGTCTCAGCCTTCAAGTTGAATATTCGCCGTCTTTCGGCCTCTGAAAACAACAAACCCTAAACCCTAAACCCTAAACCCTAAACCCTAAGCGAGTAGGCCTGCCGGCTAGCTAGCTAGCAAGTTATCTATGTAGCTATCTAGCTAGCTAACTTGCTAGCTGGCTAGCTAACTAGCTATCTAGCCGCCTAGCTAGCTAGCTGAATAACTAGCTAGCTCTCCATCTATCTATCTACCTACCTAGCTAGCTAGCTAGCTAACTAGGTAGCTAGCTAGCTAGCTAGCTAGCTAGCTAGGTAGCTAGCTAGCTAGCTAGCTAGCTAGGGGCGAGCAGCAAGCAGCTAGCCAGCTACGGGCCTCCTCTACAGAACAAATGCTAGCTGGCCAAATCTCTGCTGGATGCCTTAGCTAGCTAACCTGCTAGCTAGCTACCTAGCTAGCCGGCCAGCAAGCTAGCTAGCTAACTAAGCAGCCACCAAGTCAGCTCGCTAGCCAGACATCGATCTAGCTGGCTAGCTAGCTAGCTAGCTAGCTAGCTAGCTAGCTAGGTGGATAGCTAGCTACCTGGCTAGCTAGCTAGCTACGTGGCCAACTAGCTATCTGGCTAGCTATCTACCAAGCTGGCTAGCTAGCCAGGCAGCCACTTACCTAGCTAGCTACCTAGCTACCTAGCTAGCTAGCTAGCTAGCCATCTACCCAGCTAGCTAGCTAGCCATCTACCCAGCTAGCTAGCTAGCATCCACCCAGCTGGCTAGATAGCTAGCTAACCATCTACGTAGCTAGCTGGCTGGCTAGCTAGCTACGTAGATGGCTAGCCAGCCAGCTACCTAGCTAGCTAGCCATCTACGTAGCTAGCTGGCTACCTAGCCTGCTGGCTAGCTAGCTAGCTAGCTAGCTAGCTAGCTAGCTGACCTGTGGGCAGGGGCTTTTGCTGCACTGGGGGCGCGTTGCGCATTTTGTATTTAAAGCCCAAATAAGCCGAAGCCCCAAAAACGGAAAGCCCAGCAGCAAACTGCAGTGCGCGGCCGTGCAGCATTGCGGCTGCAAACCCTAAACCCTAAACCCTAAACCCTAAACCCTAAACCCTAAACCCTAAACCCTGGAGAGAAGGCCCAAACGAAGGAAACCCTAAACCCCCGAATGGGATAAGGACGTCTTCTCGACGAAGATGGCGGAGAGATGCCAACGAGGAGATTGAGCCTTATCTTTACTGCGGGGATTAGGGTTTAGGGTTTAGGGTTTAGGGTTTAGAGAAGGGGGGCCCCTCTATTCAGCAACTGACACGGGGGCCCTTTGAGCTCAATAACGATATAATTAATTGAATAAAAACAAAAAACTAAATTGTGAAAAACAACAAAAAAGGGTTTAGAGACAACTGCTGCAAATTGGCAAGGGGGGCCCCTCGGGGGCCCCCAGGGCCCCATTTGTCTTTTATAAAATTCTTTAATTGTTGGCTTTGATTTAATTTGTTTTTGATTTCCATTTCTTTGTCTGAGGTGTATGTACACCTCGTCGCAGCCCACACACTAACCCTAAACCCTAAACCCTACACACCACAAAACAACCCAAACGCTAACCCTAAACCCTAAACCCTAAACCCTAAACTCTAAAACCTAGGCTCATGTAATGGCCTTGACCTTCAGCGACTTACCGGAGAGTAAAACCCTTTCACCCGAGGGTTTAGGGTTCAGCGTCTCGGGACGAGGGTTTAGGGTTTAGAGTATAATTTAGGGTTTAGAGTATAATTAGGGTTTTGAACTCGAGCAGCCAGCGCTGCAGTTCCTAAACCTTTAGTGGGATTTGCGCCCCTGCAAAAAATTAGGGTTTAGGGTTTAGGGTTTGGTAGAGGCAGCGCTGCAGAAAAGGGTTTACTAGGCGGCTAGTCTCTACACGACTGCGTAGGGGGCCCCCTGGGGTGTACGTACACCCCAGCCTGGGGGACCCCCGGCCCGCAGCAGCAGCAGCAGCAGCAGCAGCAGCAGCAGCAGCAGCAGCAAATTCGGGCGAAAGCAGCTAAAGGAGGACCAGCCGTGCCAAGCCAAACCCCACACTTTCAACCCCGAGCTGCACGTACACCCCAGCAGCTGCGGTGTACGTACACCGCAGCAGCTGAGGTGTACGTACACCTCAGCTGCTGAGGTGTACGTACACCCCAGCCCTCAATCTGCCTGGGGCTTTCCTCGCTTGCCCCCGCCCCCTCGGCCCCGGGGGGCCCCCCCTCTGGGGGCCCCCTTGGGGGCCCCCCCCTTGGGGGCCCCCCCTCTGGGGGCCCCCCCTCTGGGGCCCCCCGCGCCGCGGGGGGCCCCCCCAGCCCTGCCCCTTTGGGCGCGGGAGTTGTTTATTTTCTTTTTAATTATTTGACTTTCTCCTTCTGTCTCCGACGAAGTTTCTTCAGAAGAAATAAAAGTCTCTTCTCCCTCCAGGACCTGCGCAGACACCTCAGCAACAAGCTCGGGTGTACAGACACCTCAGCAACAAGCTCGGGTGTACAGACACCTCAGCAGCAAGCTCGGGTGTACAGACACCTCAGCAACAAGCTCGGGTGTACAGACACCTCAGCAACAAGCTGGAGTGTATAGGCAGCTCAGCAAGAAGCTGGGGTGTATAGGCAGCTCAGCAACAAGCTCAGGTGTACAGACACCTCAGCAGCAAGCTCGGGTGTACAGACACCTCAGCAAGAAGCTGGGGTGTATAGGCAGCTCAGGGGCAAGATGGGGTGTATAGACAGGGACTTTTCTGGTGAGCTTTATTTGCTGCTGGGAGGCCTCGCGGGTCGGCTGCTTGGCTGTCCTGTAGAGCTTCAAAAGCCCCAAACCCTAAACCCTAAACCCTAAACCCTAAACCCTAGAGCACCTGTTTGAGGGACTGCGGAGAGGAGCGGACCCTCGTGGGGTGTATGTCCACCTGCTGCTGCAGAGAGGCGCAAAGCCTCGTGAAGGCAGCTTTCGATTTGCTTTCCACAGAGTCGTACAGCCGCACCTGCAGCAGCAGCAGCAGCAGCAGCAGCAGCAGCAGCAGCAGCAGCAGCAGCAGCAGCAGCAGCAGCGGCAGCAGCAGCAGCAGTCGCCGGGGCGTCTGGGGTCCAGCAGGCATGCGTGTACATGCTGGGGCTCTCCCCCCGGCGCTGGGGCCACAGACTCTAGCGCCTAGGGCTTAGGGTTTAGGGTTTAGGGTTTAGGGTTTAGGGTTTAGGGCACCTGCTTCTTCAACATTAGACTCTGCATGTGGTCCACTAAGTGCTCGCGCCTGAGGCCGTAAACCCCCAGCCTCTTGACTGTCTCTTGCGCGTCTCCTTCGTGGGCCAGCGGCGCCACCGCCTGCGGCCAAACCCTAAACCCTAAACCCTAAACCCCAAACCCTAAACCCTAAACCCTAAACCCTAAACCCTCATCACCTGTTGCGGCCCAGCCAAGACGGGAAGTTCACGCGAGGAATAAAGCCGTTTACTTTGTGAACCTGAAAAAAAATTAAAAACAAAAAGACAAAAAATAAAAAAACTAAAAAGATAATAAACCCTCAATTAGCTGCAGCAGCACTCCTCGCGGGGGCCCCCGGGGCCCCCAGGGGCCCCCAAAGGCCCTTAGGGTCCGCCACAGCCTCCCTGGGGGCCCCCAAAAGCCACTTTAAGGGGCCCCAGGGGGCCCCTAAGGGCCCCACGCTTAACTGGCTCCTTGGGGGCCCCCAAAACCTCCGTGAAGGCCCCCCGAAGTCCTTGGGGGCCCCTGGGGGCCCCCAAAAGGACTTAGGGGGGCCCCCGGGGGCCCCTGGGGGCCCCTGGAGGCCCTTTGGGGCCCCCAGAGGCCCCTCTGCCTCCGTTGGGGCCCCTCAAGGCTCCCATGGGGGCCCCAGCTAGGCAGGTGGGGGCCCCCGGGGCCCCCAGGAGCCCCCAAAGGCCAGGGGGCCCCTGGGGCCCCCCGCGAAGCAGCAGCAAAGTGCTGCTGGGGGCCCCTGGGCCCCCAGGGGAGCAGCAGCAAGGTGCTGCTGGGGGCCCCCGGGGCCCCCAGAGGAGCAGCAGCAAAGTGCTGCTGGGGGCCCCGGGGCCCCCAGAGGAGCAGCAGCAAAGTGTTGGTTTGGATTAGACTGACTGCAGCAGGAACTTCGACGCAGCAAAAGGCCCCCAAGGTGGGAAGAAGGGACCAGTCTTGAGCCTGCGGGGCCCCACACAGTCTCAGCGCTCAGGTGTACGTACACCCCAGCCCCCAAGGCGCGTGCGGTGTACGTACACCCGGCGCCGCCCCACAAACGCGCATGCACGCGCATGCATGTGCATGCATGCGCATGCATGCATGCATGAATGCATGCATGCATGCATGAGTGCATGTATGGCATGTATGGATGCATGCATGCATGCATGCATGCATGCATGCATGCATGCATGCATGCAAAGCTGCTGCTTACGGAGCGCAAAATTGCGTTGGCGACGTCGGCTTGGCAAAGTGCACGAGCAGCTCGTGCACAACTCGTGAGGCCCTCCAGCTCAGCAGAGGGGCCCCCCTGGGGGCCCCCATGGGGGCCCCCCGGGGGGCCCCCCTTGCTGGCTTCCTTGGGGGGCCCCCGGGGGCCCCCCGGGGTCAACTTGGGGGGGGTCCCCGGGGGGCCCCCCCGCTGCTGCACCCCGTGGGATATGGCGGCTAGGTAGTTCTCCTGTGCACAGATGCAGCGGGACTCCAAACCCTAAACCCTAAACCCTAAACCCTAAACCCTAAACCCTGAGGACTGCAGGCTGGGCGTTGGAAGTGACCCGCGCTCAGCAACTGAAATAGCCCACACCCTTTTCTTTCTGGAGAGTCAGCGTTGCTGAGCCCCAAACCCTAAACCCCAAACCCTAAACCCTAAACCCTAAACCCTAAACCCTAAACCCTAAACCCTAAACCCTCGCGGACATGAATGAGCAGGGGAATCATGTCGTAATCGACGAAAAACAAATCCAACTTTTCCGACAAACTCAAACCCTTTCCAGTTCGAGAGTCCAGCAGCAGTTTGCAGCAGTCGAAAGGCCCCAGGGTCACCTGTACGTACACCCCACAGCTGTACATACACCCCACACCTGCATGTACACCCCACAGCTGCATGTACACCCCACGCCTGCATGTACACCCCACAGCTGTACGTACACCCCACAGAGCTGTACGTATACCCCACAGCTGTACATACACCCGAGAGCTGTACATACACCCCAGAGCTGTACATACACCCCAGAGCTGTACATACACCCCACAGCTGTAGAGTTGCATGTACACCCGAAAGCTGCATGTACACCTGAAAGCTGCGCGTACACCCCAGAGCTGCATGTACACCCCGAAGGTGCACGTACACCCGAAATATGCATGGGGCGGTCAAAGAAAGCAGGTGCGTTTAGCAGCAGACACAAAAAAGGGTTTAGGGTTTAGGGTTTAGGGTTTAGAGTTTAGGGTTACTTGTGTGTCTTTAGCAGCAGAAGGAGTCCCTTTATTGATTTGCTGCTGATGGCGCATTTCAGCAGCAAGCAGCTGCAGCTGGCCCACACACTGGCGCATGTCCCCTCCTGAGCAGCAAACCCTAAACCCTAAACCCTAAACCCTAAACCCTTAACCCTAAGCCCTAAACCCTTCGAGACCTCACAGCTCAAGAACGCGGAACCACAAGATCGTCTTCTGTCAAGCGCGTCCCACGCGTGGCGTGCCCCCAACCCCTAAACCCTAAACCCTAAACCCTAAACCCTAAACCCTAAACCCTAAACCCTTGCCTGAAACTTCGGCGATCTTCGCGAGGGTTTCTTCCGAAACCTCCAAACCCTCGGCCCGCGCTATTTGCTGCATGCGCTGCTTCAAAGCTGCTGCTGTTGGCCGCTCGAACCGCAGGTCTAAGCAGCGGGTTGCCAGCGTCCGCACCTGCAGCCCCAAACCCTAAACCCTAAACCCTAAACCCTAAACCCTAGATCCTAAACCCTAAACCCTAGACCCTCAGCTGTGGAGCCTGAAGGCCGCTTGAGTTCCACGGCCGAGAGCTGGTCTGCTGCTGAGAGCGAAGCCCATCGGGCCTGCTCTGCCGCTGAAACCCTAAACCCTAAACCCTAAACCCTAAACCCTAAACCCTAAACCCTAAACCCTAAACCGCGAATTCCAAACCCTAAACTACGTGCTTAAAACGCGGAGCGTTCGACGCTATCGGTGTGCGGTGTTGAGCGCGTCTGGGGGGGGACGGCGCGCCCGAGGGTTTGGGGCCTGGGGCTTAGGGTTTAGGGTTTAGGGTTTAGGGTTTAGGGTTTAGGGTTTGCCTTGGAGCTCATTCTGTCGTTGCAGACGCAAATAATGGGAATGCGGGTGCTGTCCAGCAGCTTCAAAATGGCCTGAGAGCCTCCGCGGTCTCCGCCGCTGAGTCCATCCACTTCATCCAGCAGCAGACACGGGAGTTTGCCCTGTCCTGCTGCTGCTGCTGCTGCTGCTGCTGCTGCTGCTGCTGCTGCTGGTGCTGCTGCTGCTGCTGCTGCGGGGGAGGCGGGCTTGCTGCTCTTGGCCAGCTGGAAGAAATTCACAGTTACGCCGCCTGTCACCAGACTCTCCAGGTCTGCAGCAAAAAGAACAAGAGGGTTTAGGGTTTAGGGTTTAGGGTTTAGGGTTTGGGGTTTGGGGTGATAGAAGAAGGAACAAAAAGGAGGCAGAAAGGGAATTAAAATGGACAAAAAAAGGAGTTTTGAAAGGAGACAAAAAGGACTTTAAAAGAAGACAAAAGAGACATAAAAAGGAAACCAAAGGCAGACAAAAAGAAGATAAAAGGAGATTAAAAAAAACAAAAAAACAAAAAAAGAAAATTAAAAAGAGACAAAAATGAGTTTCAAAAAAGACAAAAAGAAGACAAAAAAGACAGAAAAGACGAAAAGAAAGAGTTCCTTCGTGAGGAAAAGCAAAAAAGAAAAAACTTTGAAAAGAAAAAAAAAGAAAAATAAAAAAGAAAAAGGAAAAAAGAAAAAAGAATTTAAAAAGCAAAAGGAGACAAAAAGGACTCCAAAGGAAACAAAAGAGACAAAAAGGACTTGAAAAATAAATCAAAAAAGAAATCAAAAAATAAAAAAAAGAAAAACAACAGAGACAAAAAAAGACTCCAAAAAATAAAAAGAAACCAAAAGGAAAATAAAAAGAAATCAAAAAGAAGCCAAAAAGAAAATAAAATAAAATAAAGTAAATAAAATAAATAAAATAAAATAAAATAAAATAAAATAAAATAAATAAAATAAAATAAAATAAAATGAAACAAAATAAAGTGAAATAAAAGCAGCAGCAGCACCTTCAATGTTGGCTTTATTTCTTGTGTCGGAAGCATTAAACTCCAGCAGCAAAAGCTGCTGCTGCTTTGCTGCTACTGCTGCTGCTGTTGTCTTTCCTATTCCTGGGGGCCCGCTCAGCAAACAGGCCCGCGCATTCATGTTCAGCGTCGGCTGCAGCAGCAGCAGCAGCAGCAGCAGCAGCAGCAGCAGCAAGAGGGGAAGCAGCAGCAGCGAAAGCGGGAGCAGCAGCAGCAAAAGCGGAAGCGCAGCAGCAGCAGCGAGAGCAGCAGCAGCAAAGGCAAAGACACAGCAGCAGCAGCAGCAGCGAAGACACAGCAGCAGCAGCGAGAGCAGCAGCAGCAGCAGCAAGAAAGCTTAATGAGCAAAAGGGAAGTGGGATTTGGGACTGGGCTTGCGGATGGGCTCCTGGGAATTAGGGTTTAGGGTTTAGGGTTTAGGGTTTAGGGTTTAGGGTTTGCGCACTGGGAACATGCCCGCGGAGAAGGCGCCCGGGGTGAATCTGGGTTTTGGATTTTCTTTGGTTTTGCCTAATTGAAAAAAAACAAAAAAGAAAATTAAAAATAAAAAATAAAAAATAAAAAATAAAATTAAATTAAAAAAGAATATAAATAAAGGCCCCAGCAGCAGGCAAGAGCTACGCCAAAGAGAGGGACGCAAAACCCTTTTTCAGGGTTTAGGGCTGGCAACGCACGCCAAACCCTAAACCCTAAACCCTAAACCCTAAACCCTAAACAATAAACCCTAAACCCTAGTCCGGTTTGCAAAGCCACGAGACTGCAGGCAAGCTGGCTCCGCAGAAACCGCCCAAAGGAGAGCCCACAGAAGACGACCCCTGGTGCCGCTAGAACTTAGGGTTTAGGGTTTAGGGTTTAGGGTTTAGGGTTTAGGGTTTGCCTCGAATGCAAACGTCCCGCCAGTCCCGCAGCCACTCCAGCAGCAACTTAAAAGGCCCCTCATTTCCGAGAAACTCGTTGGGGGTTTGGGGTCTGTACTTTTCGACCCACAAAGTGGACCGCTGGTCTCCTGCTGCTGCTGTTGCTGCTGCAGGCGCTGCTGCTGCTGCTGCTGCTGCTGCTGCTGCTGCTGCTGCTGCTGCTGCTGCTGCTGGGGCCCGCGCTGCAGCGGGGAAGGGGGCTCTTGGCTTCGCTGGAGCGCCCGAAGCTGCCGCTTGCGCAGCAGCAGCAGCGGCGTGGGGCGCAGGCGCTGCTGCTGCTGCTGCTGCTGCAGCAGCAGCAGCAGCAGCAGCAGCAACTCCCAACATTTCCAAAAACTCCAACTCTTTTACTATTCTAATGTGGCCCCCCTTTTGCTGCTGCTCTGCTGCTTTCCTAAACTTCGCCCCCATCTCCACAGGCCTTCCGTCTTCCAAGACAGAGCCCACCACCAGCAAGTCCGTGCGCCCGGAGACCTGCGCCCCAAACCCTAAACCCTAAACCCTAAACCCTAAACCCTAAACCCTAAACCCTAAACCCTAAACCCTAAACCTAAACCCTAAACCCTAAACCCTAAACCCTAAACCCTAAACCCTAAACCCTAAACCCTAAACCCTAAATTAAACCCTAAACCCTAAACCCTAAACCCTAAACCCTAAACCCTAGAGCACCTTGAAGCGGGGCAAACCGAGAACGCCAGCCCCAATTCAACAAAACCCTAAACCCTAAACCCTAAACCCTAAACCCTAAACCCTAAACCCTAAACCCTAAACCCGAAAGCCTAAACCGTACAAAACCCTAAACCCTAAACCCTAAACCCTAAACCCTAAACCCTAAACCCTAAACCCTAAACCCTAAACCGCAAACCCTAAACCCTAAACCCTAAACCCTAAACCCTAAACCCTAAACCCTAAACCCTAAGCTGACCACTGCAAGCTGAGTCTTGAAGGCCATGCGTAGCCTGCACGGCGCAGCGGTCTTCCGTGCAGGGCTGAAGTCCCCGCGATAAACCCCAGACACCCGAATTCCAGGGCCTAAACCCTAAACCCTAAACCCTAAACCCTAAACCCTAAACCCTAAACCCTAAACCCCGAAGCCCAAACCTCAAACCCTCAAGACAAACAAAGCCGCTTCAGCTACAAGGGACCCACAGAAAGACGTAGCACGAATAGAGGCTTTCGCTTCCAATTTAGGAATGAGGGTTTAGGGTTTAGGGTTTAGGGTTTAGGGTTTAGGGTTTAGGGTACCGCCGTAGTGACGGAGCCGCCTTTCTCTAGAATTTTTTCTACAGCTTCTTCTCGACTCATTTGCTGCAGCACTCCTGTCAGCACAACCTTCTTTCCGCACAGTGTGCTGCTGCTGCTGCTGCTGCTGCTGCTGCTGCTGCTGCTTCCGCTGCTGCTGCTGCTGCTGCTGGGTTTGGTTTTAACTTTTTTGGGGGACTTCTGGGTGGCTGCTGCTGCTGCAGCAGCAGCAGCAGCAGCAGGTTTGCTGCCCTCAGCAGCAAACGGCAGTTTGCGTTTCTTTGCAGCGGAAGTGGGAGAGCCTTCAACTGAGAGCACAAACCCTAAACCCTAAACCCTAAACCCTAAACCCTAATCCCTTACCGCTAAACCCTAAACCCTAAATCCTAAACCCTAAACCCTTAACTCTAAACCCTAGGCCGCTTGACGCACCTTCACTTGAGTCACAGAGCCTGCTGTAGCTGAACCCTACATTCAATCTAAACCCTAAAACCTAAACCCTAAACCCTAAACCCTAAACCCTAAACCCCACTTTTACCTTCTTGTTTGGCTGAGTGTGGGTCGTTGTCGACGCTCATAGCTGCGGGCTCGCTGCCAGCATTTGCTGCTGCTGCTGCTGCTGTTTCTGCTGCTGCTTCCTCTGCTGCCTCCCCCTTTGCCTCAGCGTCAGCAGCAGCAGCAGCAGCAGCAGCAGCAGCAGCAGAAGCAGCAGGAAACGGCTTTTTGGGTTTCCGCATTTCCTTGCTGACAGCAGCAGCAAAGAAGGAGTCGACGTCGACCTCGACCCTCTGCGGCTTACTCCGCTGCTGCTGCTGCTGCTGCTGCTGCTGCTGCTGCTGCTGCTGCTTGCTGCTTCCAGCAGCAGCAGCAGCAGCAGGTTTAAGAAACCTGTCCAGGGTCACCGCGGGAACTTTGCTGCTGCTCTTCTTTGTCTCTTCGTCGCTGTCAGTTTCTCCGGGCTCCAAAACCACGCAGCGAGTGCCGGTCTTCTTAGACTGCTTCTGCTGCTGCTGCTGCTGCTGCTGCTGCTGCTGCTGCTGCTGCTGCTGCTCTTTGCTGCTGCTGCTCCTCTTGGCGTCCTCCGCAGCTGAACTCTCCTCTTCGCTGTCCGACAGCACCACGCGGCGCAGCCGCCCCGTTCTGCATCAGCAGCAAAACTCGAAGCAGCAAACTCAGCAGCAGCAGCAGCAGCAGCAGCAGCAGCAGCAGCAGCAGCGCATTTGAGGGAGCGACAGGAACGTACTTGCGAGGTTGGGAGGCTTTGGGGGGGCTGAATGTCTCCTCCTCATCGCTGCTGCTGCTGCTGCTGCTGCTGCTGCTGCTCTGCACCACGGTGGCTTCACTCTCTTCCTCGCTGCTGCTGCTTCCGCTGCTGCTGCTGCTGCTGCTGCTGCTGCGCGCCCGCTTCCCCCGGCCTCGCTGCTGAGGGGCGTCGGAGGCGCGACGGCCTTTCTTTGCTGCTGCTGCTGCTGTTGCTGCTGCTGCTGCTGTCTTCTTCTTATTCTGCAGCTGTTCTGCTGCTGCTGCCTTTTTTGGGGCCTTCGGAGCGGCGGGTTTGCTCGTGCTGCTGCTGCTGCTGCTGCTGCTGCTGCTCTTCGTGCTGCTGCTCTTGCTGCTCTTGCTGCTCTTGCTGCTGCTGATGCCCTTCCCCTGGCTAGCCACGAGGCCTTCGGGGGCAAAAAAACTTCGAATGTCTGCCATGGTTGCTGCTGCTGAGGAGCGAGTGTTTAGGGTTTAGGGTTTAGGGTTTAGTGTTTAGGGTTTAGGGTTTGGGGTTTGGGGTTTGGGGTTGTGTTGGGTGCGCGAGACGCCCAAATGCAGCCGCACAGCCCCACAGGCAGGTGTGAGTCCGTGGCCTGCGGCTTTTGCAGTTTCAAAACCCTAAACCCTAAACCCTAAACCCTAAACCCTCTTCGTCGGCACCGGCGGCGGCGCATGCAGCAGGCGTTCAGGGGGCGAACTGGGGTCTTTCTGGCTGCGTTTTTAATTACTTTTTGAATAAAAAACTTTAAATTCGATTTATTAAAGGGTTTAAATGCCAAAAACTCTTTTATTTGCTGCTGGGGGCCCCCCGCAGCAGACACGGGGGGGCCCCACCGCAGCAGCGGTGGGTGGTGGTTGGGGTGTACGTACAGCTGCTGCTCCCCAGCGATCTTCCAACTTTAATGCATTAAATCTTTTCTTTTTTAATTTATTTATTTTTATTATTTTTAATTTTCAGAAAAAGAACCAATTCAGCGCTGGCAGCCCCCTCTCTGTCTTCAGCCAGCTGCCCGCAGCTGCTGCTGCTGCTGCTGCTGCTGCTGCTGCTGAAGAAGCTGCTGCTTCTGCTGCTGGAGCAGCAGCTGCTATTTCCGCAACTATCGCTAGCCTTGTTGCTGCTGCTGCTGCTGCTGCGGCTAAGCAGCAAGTGCCTACTCCCGCAGCAAGCCAGCTGCAGCCAACTAGCTACAGCTAGCTACAGCTAGCTACAGCCAGCCACAGCTAGCCACAGCTAGCTACAGCTAGCCACAGCTAGCCACAGCTAGCCACAGCTAGCTACAGCTAGCTACAGCTAGCTACAGCTAGCCACAACTAGCTACAGCTAGCTACAGCTAGCTACAGCCAGCTACAGCTAGCTACAGCTAGCTACAGCCAGCCACAGCTAGCTACAGCTAGCAACAGCTACCCGCAGCTAGCTGCAGATAACTGCTGCTACCTACAGCCACCTGCGGCTAGCCACAGCTAGCTGCAGCTAGCTGCAGCTAGCTGCAGCTAACTACAGCCATCTACGGCTAGCTAGGCAACCGCAGCGAGCTCTAGTGGCTTACAGCTAACTCACAGCTAGCCACAGCTAGCTACAGCTAGCCACAGCTAGCTACAGCTAGCTAGCTGCCACATAACTGCATCAAACAGAAAAGGTCATGTCAAAAACTTCCAAAGTAAAGACAAATGCGACTCTGTGCTACGTGTTCTCCCTCGACGCTGTACGCAGGGGCTTGAGGGCTGCTGCTGCTGCTGCTGCTGCAGCAGCTGCTGCTGCTGCTGCTGTGGTTGCTGCTGCTGCTGCGGCCGAAGCACGGGCTAGCCGCTGTCTGTACACCCTGAAGCCCAATATCTGCCATTGCTGCGCTTGGCTCAGGGGCCTTCTAGAGGATGCAGCAGCAGCAGCAACAAGGACACAAAAAAATCTGCTGCCAGTTCTGCTGCTGCTGCTGCTGCTGCAGCTGCTGCTGCTGCTGCTGCTGCTGCTGATGCACAGCCTCCGCGGCCAGGCTGGCCTGCTCTTTACCAAACTGCTTCTGAGTCATCTTCCTCTGGTGAAGGGGGCCTTCGGTTTACGAAGGCTTCGGGGCTGCTGTCGCTGCTGCTGCTGCTGCTGCTGCTGCTGCTGCCTGGCTGGCTCCTGTTGCTGCTGGTTGCTGCTGCTGCTGCTGCAGCACTGCCGCGAGGATTGGGGCCTCGTGGTGTATGTACACGTGAAGGGCTTCTTACGGTAGTCCTTTTAGACCCGCAGCTGCCGCGAACCCGAAAACAAGCAACAAACGGATTGCTGCTGCTGCTGCTGCTGCTGCTGCTGCTGCTGCTGCTGCTGTTGCTGCTGCTGCCGACACAACGAGGCGACTGCAACGGGGAGGTCGACGGGGTCTGAAAGGGAGTGTTGGAGGTGCTACTCGCAAAGTCTACTTGGTCGTGCTGCTGCTGCTGTTGTCGCTGCTGTTGCTGCTGCAGTTGCTGCTGATGCTGCTGCTGCAGTTGCTGCTGCTGCAGATGGCTCACAGGTGAATAAACCTGTCGAGCTTCTTGCTGGTCTTCCTCCCGCTTTTGCTGTTGCAATTGCTGCTGCTGCGCCAGCTGCTCCTGCTGCTGCTGTTGCTGCTGCTGCAGCTGCTGTTGCTGCTGCTGCACCTCTTGCTGTGACAGCTGCTGTTGCTGTGGCTGCTGCTGCTGCTGCAGCATTTCTTGAGAAGCAGCACCACCTTGCTGCAGTCCAGCCAGTCGCAGTCTTGGGACTGCAGCAGCGTATTCGCCTGCGGTCTGCTGCTGCGGCTGCTGATTTTGCTGCCCCTGCTGCTGCTGCTGCTGCTGCGGCTGCAGCTGCTGCTGATTAGGCGGACAAGGTGACGGTTGCTGCTGCTGCAGATGCTGCTCCCAGCCGCCCTGGAAACCAGCAGCTGCGCCCAGTGCAGACCTGGCAGCAGCAGCGGGTGCTGCTGCTGCTGCTGCTGCTGCTGCAGCGTCAGGGGCAGCTAAACGTCTTTCGAACCTGCTGCATAGGCCTGCTGCTGCTGTTGCTGCTGCTCCTGCTGCTGCAACAGAAGCAGCAGCAGCAGCAGGCATCGTGGCGGAAGGAGGAGACGCCGAATGTCCAGGGTTCTCTGGGGCAGGCGAAGCAGCAGCGGCAGCTGCTGCTGCTGCTGTTGCTGCTGCTGCTGCTGCTGCTGCTGTTGCATGCACAGCAGCAACTGCAGCAGGAGCATCCGTCCCCCCTGCTGTTGCGTAAAGCTCCTCCCTCACCCGAATTTCCGGCAGCAGCAAAGAGCCCAGGAGGTCAACTGCTGCTGGCAGCACGAAGTAGCGCGGCTGCGCTGCTGCAGGAGCTGCTGCTGCTGCTGCTGCTGCTGCTGCTGCTGTTGCTGCTGCTGCTGCTGGGCCACCCGCTGCTTGAGCGCCTCCCTGTGCTGAGGCCCGAACTGCAGGTTCCTCCTCAGCAGCAGCTGCTGCTAGTGAAGCTGTGGCGCTGCTGCTGCTGCTCGTGCTGCTGCAGTTGCTGCTGTGTTGCTGCAGTTGCTGCGCCTCCTGCTGCTGCTGCGAACGACTGCCGGCAGTCTCAAAGAAGGACTTCAGCAGCTGCTGCTGCTGCTGCTGCGCTTTGCTGCGGATCCTGTCGATGTGCTGCAGCAGGTCTTCTGCTGCTGCGATTGGAGGAAGCAGAGCAGCAAAAGCAGCAGCTGTTTGCCGGGGCGGCGCTGCGCTGTCGTCTGCTGCAGCAGCAACTTCAATGCGCAGCTGCTGCTCCTCCCAGCTGTTGCTGCTGCTGCTGCTGCTGCTGCTCGTGCAAAGAGCCTTCTTTTGCTTCGGCTGCTGCCGCTGCCGCTCCGCATGCGCAGCAGCTTCCTCGGCCTGGATGAGCGCTGCTGCTGCTGCTTGCTGCTTCTGCAGCTGCTGCGTTGCTGCTGCAGCTGCCTGCAGCAAACCCTCTATTTCCCTGCCTTCTTGCTGCAGCGCTTGCTGCTGCTCGAAGAAGCAACTCATCACTTCGCCCAGGAACTGCTGCTGCAGCAACAAAACCCAAAAATATGGCATTTGCTGCTGCAGTTGCAGCTGCGGCCCATGCAGTTCAGACGCTCTCGCTGAATTAGCAGCAGCAGCAGCAGCAGCAGCAGCAGCAGCAGCAGCAGCAGCAGCAAACTGACACTCTTTCTCTGTATGAGGGCCTGCGCTGTGTTGCGGATGTCTTCTAACAAACGAGAAGCTGTGACGAAGACAAGCCGGCTCCGCGCCTCCAGCAGCTGCAGCAAACAAGCAGCAGCAGCAGCAGCAGCAGCAGCAGCAGCAGCAGCGGCAGCAGCAGAAGGGTTCGTGAACTAGTGGCTCGGTGGCTCAGCAGCAACAGCACACAAGGCTAGAGTAGCAGGATCGCGCCGCAGCAGGAGCAGGCGCAGGAGCAGCAGCAGCAGCTGCAGCAGCCGCTGCAGCAAAGCAGCTACAGCAGCACAGCTCCAATGGCAAGAAAACGCAGCAAGCAGCAGCAGCAGCACTGCAGCAGCAAGTCAACAGCGCCTCGCAAGCAGCAAGTCAGCAGCACAAGGGGCGACTAGAGGCTAGCCAGAAGCAGCAACGGCAGCAGCAGCAGCAGCAGCAGCAGCAGCAGCAGCTTGCACGCACCTCGAGCTGCCTCGTTCTGCTGCTGCGGTGGTCCTCCAGCTGCTGCTGGGCTTCCTGCAGCGCTGCTGCTGCTGCTGCTGCTCGCTGCTGCAGCAGCGCAGCAGCTTCTGCAGAGTGTCTGTACACCGCAATCCTCGAGTGGAAAAAGTGGGGCTCCCTTTCGCTGGCAACGCAGCAGCCGCAAACCAGTGTGCTGCACGGCACTGCAGCAGCAGCAGCAGCAGCAGCAACAGACACAGCAGCAGCAGCGAGCAGGAATTTCAGGCAGGGGCCTTCGGCAAACGCAAGGTCAGCAGCAGCAGCAGTAGCAGCAGCAGCAACAGACACAGCAGCAGCAAAGCTGATGTCAGCAGCAAAAGTCGCTCGCATGGATGCAGGCATAAAATTTGAAGAGCAGAAGAAAGCAGCCGCTGCTGCTGCAGCAACTGCAGCAGCAGCAGCAGCGACACAGCAGCAGCAGCAGCAGTCTGCAGCATCAGATGCAGCGAGTATGCATGCAAGCAGTTGCAGCAGCAGAAACAGCGCCAGAGACAACAGAAACAGCAGCAGCAGCTGCTGCTGCAGCAACAGCTGCTGCTGCAGCTGCTGCTGCAGCAGCAGCACTACGAACCGCATAAGGCGACGACCGGTTGCCACGGGTGGACTTCGCACATCCTGCAGGCAGCAGCACTACGAACCGCATAAGGCGACGACCGGTTGCCACGGGTGGACTTCGCACATCCTGCAGCAACAGCAGCAGCAGCAGCAGCAGAAAGCAGCAGCAGCAGCAGCAGCAGCAGCAGCAGAAGGAAAACGCCACTAGATGAAGACAAGTGCAGCTACACATTCGCCGCATCTGCTGCAGCAGGCGCTGCTGCTGCTGCTGCTGCTGCTGCTGCTGCAGGAGGGTAGAGGGGCCCACGTTTGCTGCTGGTTGTCTGTCTCTTCTGCTTCTCGGGGCCGCCTTTTAAGGTCTCTTCGGCGCTGCTGCTCCAGCTGGAGCTGCTGCTGCTGCTGTTGCTGCTGCTGCTGCTGCTGCTGCTGCTGCTGCTCAAGACGACGCCTACGGTGTTGCTCCTCCTGAACAACAAAAGCGGCAGCAAAATGAGGGCCGCAAGCAGCGCAGCAGACGCAGAAGCAGCAGAAGTCAGCAGCAGCAGCAGCAGCAGCGGCAGCAGCAGCAGCAGAAACGCTCAGCAACAGCAGCAGCGACAGCAGCAGCAGTAGAAAGGCTCAGCAACAGCAGCAGCGACAGCAGCAGCAGCAGCGGTGGAAACGATCAGCAGCAACGGCAGCAGCAGCACGCTGGAAAGCAGCCAAAGCAGCGAAGGCCCGAAAAAGAGCAGCAGCAGCAGCAGCAGCAGCAGCAGCAGCAGGACAAACAATAGCCGCAGCTGCAGCAGCAGCGACGTGAGCTGCTGCATTGGCTGCTGCTGCAGTTCGACAAGCACCTGCCGCCGCAGCAGCAGCGCAGTTGCTGCTGCTGCTGCTGCAACGGACTTGCTGCTGCTGCAGTCAGAGCAGCAGCAGCAGCAGCAGCTGCTGCTGCTGATGCTGCTGCTGCTGCTGGCAGCGCGAGTCTCACCTCTTCTGCAGACTGCAGCAGCGCCAAATTTTCTGCTGCTACGCGGCCCCAGCAGCGGCAGCAAGGGCAGCGGACAGCAGCAGCAAGAAGGCTCGAGGAGAGCAGCGAGCGCAGCCTTTGCTGCTCTGCTGCTGCTGCTTCTGCTGCTGCTGCTGCTGCTGCTGCTTGGCTGAATGCAACAGATGCTGCTGTGCCAAAGGCGCCCCACGGTGAAGTTATGCCCGCAAGTGCAGCACCAGCAGCTGCTGCTGAGAGTAAGCCTTCGGTTTGCTGCTGCTGCTGCTGCTGCTGCTGCTGCTCCTGCTGCTGCTGCTGCAGCTCTTGCACGCGCCGCCTGGCAGCAGCAACCTCCAGCAGCAGCGGCAGCAAAGGGTTAGCTGCTGCTGCGTCGGAGTCAATGAGTCTACAGACGCAACTGCAGCACAAGGTGTGGCCTGCAGACACACGCAAACCCTAAACCCTAAACCCTAAACCCTAAACCCTAAACCCTAAACCCTAATGCTGATTGCTCGCAGCAGCTGGCGCTTTGCTCAGCAAATCCTACACCCTAAACCCTAAACCCTAAAGCCCAAATCCCAAACCCTTAAGTCCCAGCCACAAACCCTAAACCCTAAACCCTAAACCCTAAACCCTAAACCCTCACCGCAAGATAGGACTTTAGGACGCAGCTCGTCGTCTAGAGAAAAACACTCGAAGCATATGGGGCACTCATGCCTCTTGCTGCTGCTGCTGCTGCTGCTGCTGCGGCCGGAGGCTTCTGCTGCCAGTGCTGCTGCAGCAGCAGCGGTTTGTGTGGCCCGCATTGCTTGTGCTGCTGCTGCTGCTGCTGCTGCTGCCGGCGTTGGTTCTGCTGCAGCTACAGCTTCAATCTGCAGCTGCAGAAGCCTCCTGCGCTGCAGCAGCGGAAGCAGCAGCAGCAGCACTCTTCGCAGCAGCAGCAGCAGCAGAAACAGCAGCTGCTGCTGCTGCTGCTGCTGCTCTCAGCTCCGCAGCTTAAGGCCAATGCTGCAGCATAAACACCTCAATTAGGGTACAGCTGGGGGCCCCCGGGGGCCCCAGGGGCCCCCTGCTGCTAGTTTGAGGGTTTGGCTGGGGGCCCCCCCTGCTGCTGCTGCTGCTGCTGCTGCTGCTGCTGCTGCGCTAGGGTTTGGAGGCTCAGGAAAGCGGGCGAGAAGCAGCAAAAAGAAACATTAAATTAAATTTAAATAATTAAATTAAATTAAATTAAATTAAATTAAATTAAATTAATTTTTAAATTCCCTCAAGTTGGAGGAGGCGAACTCCGGCTCGCCGAGGCAGCCGAGAGGCGACTCGCCAGAGGCCTCGAGTGAAGAAACCCCAAGCCCTAAGCTCTAAACCCTAAACCCTAAACCCTAAACCCTAAACCCTAAACCCTTGCTGGTGCTACCAAAAAGCCAACAAATACGCACAGCCGCAAACCCTCAAAGCCTCTAAACCCCCAGGCTGAGCCAGTTGCTCTCAGTCGCCGCTGCCGCTGACCAGCGGCTCTAAACCCTAAACCCTAAACCCTAAACCCTAAACCCTCAGCCCCGAGTGGCCAGTTGAATGCCAGTCTTTACATCATAGTGGCTGTAAAGGGGAACTAGGGTTTAGGGTTTAGGGTTTGCTCGACCTGCGGCTTTCCTCGAGCTGTGTCGGCAGCGGTGTCGCCTTGTAGGTGACCTTTTAAGCCCCCAAACCCTAAACCCTAAACCCTAAACCCTAAACCCTAGTTCCCCGCAGAGGCTTTCGACTCAGGGGTTTGCGTTCTCCAGTGCAACTGCCTCTCCAAAACTCTCTTTTAGGGTTTGCCAATTGCCTCCCAGCGAGCCTCAGCGGCTGCCAATTGCAAAATAGACTACTAATTAATCAATTAATTAAATAATTAAATAATTAAATAATTAATCGAAAACTAATTAAAACAAATTGAAAAAATAACAGCAGTTGCATGCGCCTGGCTTTGAAAAAAAATGAGGCGACAGAGCTGCGGTGTACGTACACCCGAAGAGCCAAAGCTCCCCACACCGCAAACCCTAAACCCTAAACCCTAAACCCTAAACCCCGAGCCTCCAAAGCCTTGCGTCAACTGCCTAGCAAGCTCCAAACCCTAAACCCTCGGCAGCAAACCCTGAAACCCTAACCAAAACTCCAGCGCCCCCACAGGGCAACTGCGGCAGCATCTGCTGCAAAAAGGGTTTAGGGTTTAGGGTTTAGGGTTTAAGGCCCAGGGTTTAGCCCCTAACTCCAGGGAGCCTCCTCGCTGCACACAGCGACGAGCTAACTCTCCACGTCGAGCAGTCTACTGTCCCGTGCATGCATGCAGGGAGAGGCGCATGCACGCATGCGTGCATGCAGGGAGAAGCGCATGCACGCACGCATGCATATCCGGGGGCGCGCATGCGCGCTTGCATGCGCCTGCGTGCATGCATGCGTCTGCATGCATGCATGCATGCATGCATGCATGCGTCTGCATGCATGCATGCGTGCATGCATGCGTCTGCATGCATGCATGCAGAAGGCGAAGCCCAGATAAGCGCCTCGGGCCAATTTTGGGGCTTCGGGCCGGCGGCGCCTCTGCAGCGCCAGAGGGCCCCACTGAGAGAAAGTTCCTACGCGGATCAGCAGCAAACAGTAAAGACAGATGCATGCATGCATGCAGAAACGCATGCATGCATGCAGGGATGCATGCATGCAGGGATGCATGCACGCAGAAACGCATGCATGCATGCAGGGATGCATGCATGCAGAATGCATGCACACACGGACGTATGCATGCAGAAACGCATGCATGCATGCAGACAAGGGTGCATGCATTCAGAAACGCATGCACGCATGCAGACACGGATGCATGCATGCAGACACGCATGCATGCAGGCACAAACGCATGCATGCAGAAACGCATGCATGCAGGCAGAACAGCTTGAATGCAGAGCGCATGCATGCAGGTAGGGATCCTTGCATGCAGAATCGCATGCATGCAAAGCCCCAAGCATGCAGAAACGCAGGAATTCAGGTGAGGATGCATGCATGCAGAAACGCATGCATGCAGCAGTTCATGCATGCATGCAGAAACGCATGCACGCACAAATGCATGCATACATGCAGAAACGCATGCATAGACAAGCGCATGCATGCACAAGTGCATGCATGCAAGTAGATTTGCATGCATGCAGGAGCGCATGCACGCAGGTTGGAATGCATGCATGCAGAAGCGCATGCATGCAGTGACGCCCGCATGCGGAAACGCATGCATGCGTGAATGAGCGCATGCATGCATGCATGCAGAGACGCATGCATGCAGAGACGCATGCATGCATGCAGGAGCGCATGCATGCAGGAGCGCATGCACGCAGGAGCGCATGCATGCAGGCAGGGATGCGTGCATGCAGAAACGCATGCACTCAGAACTGTGTGGATGCATGCAGAAGCGCGTGCATGCACGCAGGGATGCATGCATGCAGGGATGCATGCATGCATGCATGCAGGGATGCATGCATGCATGCAGGGATGCATGCATGCATGCAGGGATGCATGCATGCATGCATGCAGGCTGAGAGGCAGCCTGAAGCCGGTTCGCGTGTCTCTAGGCAACGCCCGAGGTGTACATACACCTCAACATTAAAAAAGATTGAAACAAAACGAAACAAAAAAGAAAACCAATTTAACACAAGACCCCCGAGGCCGCCTGAGACACTCCGCGCGTCCTGCTGCAGCAGCAGCAGCAGCAGCAGCAGCAGCTGCACTCGCTGCCGCAGCAGTTCCACTAGCTGCTGCAGCAGCTGCAGCAGCTGCTGCAGCAGCTGCAGCAGCTGCTGCAGCAGCAAGAGTCCCCATCTGCAGCTGCCGCCGCTGCCACCGCCGCTTCTGCCGTCGCCTCTCTGAAGGTCGCAGCAGCAGCAGCAGCAGCAGCAGCAGCAGCCGCAGCAGCAGCAGCAGCAGCAGCAGGTCTGCTGCTGGCGATCCCTCTGCGCCGTCTGCCTCAAGGGCGCATTAGCCGCGCGGGCTGCAGCGCCCCTGCGAGCCGCTGCCTCCTCCTCCGCCTTTGCTGCTGCTGCTGCTGCTGCTACTGCTGCTGCTGCTGCTGCTGCTGCTGCTGCAGCAGCCCGTTTTTCTTTGCTGCGCGGTCGGCGATGAAGACGAGGGCGAAGGCGGAGAGGGAAAGGACCAGCAGCAGCGCGAGGACGAGGGTGAAGTTCTGGCTGCGGTGTACAGACACCTCAAAGAGCGGAGTGGCCAGCAGCGAAAAGAAACCCCCGAAAGTCATGCAAAGTCCCAAAAGTTTTCCCAAGTGTTGTTGGGGAAAAGCTCTTTGCATAAAAAGGTATATTTGTCCCGCCATGAGCGGCGCGTAGGCGGCGTACAGCCACGCCAGCAGGTGCGCCACGGCCCTCCTGCTGCTGCTGCTGCTGCTGCTGCTGCTGCTGCTGCTGCTGCTGCTGAGGTGCTGCAGCAGCGCGAAACCCATCAGCAAACAGCCCAGCGAATTCACCAGCAGCAAGCAGCAGCCAGCCCCCAACTTGTCTGCCAAATAACCCAACAGCGGGGGATAAACAAAGACAAAAGCCAGCAGCAAGTGCAGCGCCTCTTTTGCTTCAGCAGCAAAATGCTCGCTGCTCTCTCCGAAGAAAACCCCCCGCAGCAAAGTCAAAGTGAAGTACGGCAGCAGCGGCAAAAACGCAGCAGAACAAACGTAGCAGCAAACGAACTCCCGCGTCTCCGCCTTCAGCAGCAGCCAACGCGCACGCAGCCGCCCCCACCGGCCTCCCGCTGCTGCTGCTGCTGCTGCTGCTGCTGCTGCAGCAGCAGCGGGGGCGGGCGCGGAGCCCGGCCCGCGCTCCTCCTGCTGCTGCTGCGGCACCTCCTGCTGCTGCTGCTGCTGCTGCTGCTGCTGAGCAGACGCCGCCGCTTGCTGCAGCGACGGGACGCGCGCCAGCTGCGAGGAGGAAGACGCCTGCTGCTGCTGCTGCTGCTGCTGCTGCAGGTCTGCTGCAGTGGAGCAGTCGTAGTCGAGGCACAAGCCGTCTTCGGTCGCTGCTGCGGTGGCTCCGCGCTGCAGCAGCAGCAGCAGGAGCAGCAGCAGTCTCCTTGCCCTCCTCCTTAGCGGGGCTGGCCTTGTTCGTGAGCTGGAGCTGCAGCAGCGCGTTTGCCTTGCTGCGTGCGTCGCGCGGCCGCCGCTGCTGCCGCTGCTGCTGCTGCTGCTGCTGCTGCTGCAGCAGCAGCAGGTCGAAGGGCCTGGCGGGGACGAAGAGCAGCGCGAGCAGCAGCGCGAGCAGCAGCAAAGACCCCTGCAGCCCCAGCAGCACTGCAGCAGCAGGCAGCGCGGGGCCCCCGGGCCTGGCCAGCCGCTCCAGCAGCAGCGGCAAGGCCCAGGCCAAGCCCCGGGCAGACAGCAGCAAAGTCAAGACAAGGCCTTGCTGCTGCGGGAAGAGCAGCGGGAGACTCATGAGGCCATAAAATGCTGCATCGATCCCGATCCCATAGACGAGGAAGCCCAGCTGCTGCAGCGGCGCTGCAGCAGAAGACACGCACAGCAGCAGCCACCCCAGCAGCATGCTGCAGCAGCCTGCTGCACTTGCTGCTTTCGGGCCCAGCAAGTCCAGCAGCAAACCCCCGAAAAAGGAGACTCCGAAGTCTGCTGCTGTTGCGATTGCAAACAGCCGCGCCACCGCTATTTCCTGCGCTTTGCAGCGAGCCCGGCCCGCTCGCCGTGCTGCTGCTGCTGCTGCTGCTGCTGCTGCTGCTGCTGCTGCTGCTGCGGGGTCGTCCGCGCCCGCAGCAGCAGCAGCGGGGGCGGGGGGCGAGGCCGGGCGCGCTGCTGCCGAAGACGCAGCAGCAGCGCCCGCCACGCCCGCAGACGCTGCTTCCGGCAACTCTGCTGCTGCTGCTGCTGCTGCTGCTGCTGCTGCTGGGGGCGCTGCTGCTGCTGCTGCTGCTGCGGAGGAGGGGGCCTCGGGAGGCGGCAGCAAATCTGCTGCTGGCGGGAACTCGAAGCCGGGGGGAATTGTGGGGAGGACGGCGGAGATGGGCTGGAGGTCCGCGGGCTGCTGCCGCTGCAGCAGCAGCGGCTTCCGGTGCTGCTGCTGCTGCTGCTGCTGCTGCTGCTGCTGCTGCTGCTCCGGCTCGCACAGCCACCCGTACACGTCGTAGTAAAGGAGACACTGCCGCAAAGGAGACCAATTCAAATAGTGGGGTCCAATGAGAACAGCTTGGAAGCAAAAGATCAGCAGCAAGTGCCACCGCGAGAGCCGGCAGCAGCAGACTCGCGGCTTCCCTGCTGCTGCTGCTGCTGCTGCTGCTGCTGCTGCTGCTGCTGCTGGGGGCGCGGGCGGGGAGGCGCCGCCCGCCGCGGCTGCTGCGGCTGCTGCTTCGCCCGCCTCCGCCGCTTCCGCTGCTGCTGCTGCTGCTGCTGCTGCTGCTGCGGGGTCTCCCTTCGCTGGCAACGCGAACTTCTCCTGCTGCACTTGCTGCTGCTGCAGCGCCCGGCTCGGAAGCGCCACGTCGACCACCGTGCTGCTGCTGCTGCTGCTGCGGTGTACGTACACCTCGGCCGCCGGCGAGGCCGCCCCTGCCCCCTCCCGCAGCGTCAGCTTCGCAGGCGTGTCTGCTGCTGCTGCTGCTGCTGCAGCAGCAGCAGCAGCTGCTGCTGCTGCTGCTGCAGGCCTCCCAACATCTTCGGAAGCACCCCGCGGGGTGCGAACGCCCGCAGCTACAGAAAGAGAGAAAGTTTGGTTGGAGTCGGCGCTAAGAGGCCTGTCCACAGGTGCCATATCAGTGCGAGGGTTTGAAGCGAGGGTTTAGGGTTTAGGGTTTAGGGTTTAGGGTTTGGGGACAGCGCCAGCTTCAGCTGTCCCGCCTGCTGCGGCTCCGCCAGAAGACGATTTGCATAACAGCTGCTGTGGCTGCTGCTGCAGCAAGGCAGAAGCAAAGAGAGCCAACAGCAAATGCTGCTAGCGCAGCACCTAAGACAAAAATTGCTCTGGCGCTGCTGCTGCTGCTGCTGCAGCAGCAGCTGCTGCAGCAGCTGCTGCTGCTGCAGTGCAGCCCGGTGGTCAGTCGTCGACGGACGAATCGCTCCGAGCAGCAGCAGCAGCAGCAGCAGCAGCAGCTGGCAGTGTTGCAGCAGCGATAGCGAGTCTTTGACTCTTCAAAATTGTCTAAAAGTTGCTTTTTAGCATTTTTGGCTTTTGTTGTGGTTGAAAAAAGACGGAAAAAAACGCAAAGACCCCGCTGCTGCTGCTGCTGCTGCTGCTGCTGCTGCTGCTGCTGCTGCTGCTGCTGCTGCTGCTGGAGTGGGTGGGTCTGTGCGTGCTGTGCACGCAGCGCCGCGCGCCCGCTTTAAATAGCAAGAAAGCTGCTGCATTATTCTTCTAAAGTTCCTCTAAAGCAGCAAATAAACATAATTAAAGCTGCCTGCTGCTGCTGCTGCAGCAAGAAGTCCGAAAGTTGTGTCCGTGCACACAGTTCGCTTTGCTGCGCGGCGCGCGCCGCGCCGCTGGGGTGTACAGACACCCCAGCAGTGACACCCCAGCCGCGCTGCGCCGCCAGCAGCAGCAAAAGTGCTGCTGCAGCGCAGCAGAAACCCCTGATTTAGGGTTTCAGGGTTTGCTGCTGCTGCCAGCTGCTGCAGCTCTCCCTGGCAGCAGCTGCGGGGGCCCAATCCAATCGGAGTTGCCACTCGGGACTCCCCACACCCTTCTGAACCCTCAGCAGCAAACCTTGGGGGCCCCCAGGGGCCCCCCTTGAGGGTTCTTCTTGTATTTCTGTGTGGGCTTGGGGTCTAAGGGGCCCAAAGGGGAGAAGCAGAGGCCCCAATTGGAAGGTTTAAGCATTTGCAGCAGCAGCTGCTGCAGCAGCAGCAGCTGCAGCAGCAGCAGCTGCAGCAGCAGTTGCAGCAGCAAGCAGCAGAACGCGTGCTGCTGCAGCGCCACTGCAGCACCTGGCCGCTCGTAGGCGCCGGCGAAGCGGCTGCCAAAAGCTGCTGCTTCCGAAGCAGCAAATTTGTCTCTTTAAATGTTTGAAAGCAGCCACAAGAAAATAAAAAGTGCATTTTTTCACAAATCGCTTCAATAAGAGTCTTCTGCTGTTTCCCCCCAACGAAAGTGCTGAACAAAAAAGACTTTTGAACACTTGGGCCCAGAAAATCTGGCAAAAAGAAGACACAAAACACAAGCAAACGCATGCATTTGTTCCTGCAAATGCATGCAGCAGCAGCTTCTGCTGGGCTGCTTCTCCCAAACAAAGCAGCAGCAGCTCTTGCTGCGCTGCTGCTGCGCTAAGAAGCTTCGCCAAACAAAAACTTTTGAGGGCCCCCTTAGGTGGCCTCCTGGCCACCTAAGGCGGTCCACAAAGGGGCCCCAAAAGGGCCCCCAAAAGTTTTTTTTTCGGGAAATCCCGGGGGAAAGAAAGGGCCAACTGGCAGCTGCATGAGGGAAAATATCTTTTCCGATTTCGCAATTTTTGCATATTGGAGAAGCCCTGCAGCACTTTCCCGCTTTACATTTAACACTCTCGGCACATTTTTAAATTGCGAAGATAAAGCCCTAAAAAGAGGCTCAAGTGGTGCTGCGCATGCAGCCCAAAATAGGCCGACTTCTTTGGTTTCGAGCTGCAGTGAAATGAAAATAAAAAAACAAAATTGAAAGCTCTTAGTGGTTATTGGTTCTCAAGCCAAACTGGGGTCTTTGCTGAGCTTTCCAGCGTTTTCTGGAGCCTTTGCCTCGACAATTAAACATTAAGTGGCGATAAATTGCTTTTTCTAACTTAGAATTTCGTGAACAAGACCCAGCTTTGCTGCACATATTGCAAAGAGACACACAGCAACAATGTCGCCTTCTGGATTGAGCAGAAACCAGGAAATAAAACAAATTGTTTTCATCTTTTTGGGGAAATCACAAGGGCTTGAAGCGGCCTTTTACTTAAGAGCATTCAAAAAGATTTGAAGAATTTCAAATGAGCCAAAAAAGCTTTTCGTTGTGAACTACAAAGAAAAGAGTGTTTCAAAGATACAGCCATGTAAAGTCGGAAGAGAAAACAAAGGAAAGCAGCCAAGCAGTTGGCATTTATTAATCAAGAAAACAAGTCTCATATCTTGAGAAAGAACAAAATGCTCTTTTGTCCGACTTTGCTTCTAAAAGAAAGTCCTATTTTGAATCAAAAGCTAAAAACAAATTGAATACATTCCCCATTCCATTTTGGCATATTTGTGCAGCTTCTGAAAATGGATAAACGAGGAAGAGGAGCTGCCCAGGCCCATCCCCTTTCCCGTTAAAAGTGGATCCAACCTCAAAACTGCTAAACACTAGGCGTTTAAAGGCCGCAAACCCTAAACCCTAAACCCTAGACCCTAAACCCTAAATCGTTGCTTGAGTGCCCCATGCAGTCCGCCTTGAGTGTCAGAATTACCGGAGGCTGGCGCTCGCAGCGCGGGGGAAACACTGATTTGAGTTTTCTACGAATAGTTTAAATAAAAGATTCAATTCTTGATTAGGCTTTCTGTAGGGTCGGTTTGTGTCTTCTGTTCTTTTTGCTGCTGAATTTCAGCCTGAGTTTAAAATGCCCTGATGAGGACTTCGTCGTTAAAAGACCCTTTTGAGGGGATAAAAGGCATTTGGTCCAGCCCCTCTCTGACTTTTTGGTCTTCGAAAGTCCGAAAAAGCCCCAAAGTTGCCTCGCCGTAGCTTTGAGTGCTGCGCCATTTGCTGCTGCAGCAGCAGATCCCAGAGCTTTGCTGCAGCAGCAGAGCCGCGACTTTTGCTGCAGCAGCAGAGCCCTGGCTGCGCCTTCGCAGCCACCAGGCCCCGCGGTGTGCTGCGTCGGGCCATTTCGAAAGAAAATCTCTTTGCACTTTCAAACTTTTCTTGAACTCCCCAGAGGCCCCTCGAGGGTTTGCTGAAGAACTTGGTATTAGGAAGCAGCAGCTGATCTCGCTGAGTCAGGGGGGGCCCCCCTTAGCCCAGAAAGGGCCTCCTGGGTCTACAAATTTGAAAATGTAGTTCACATATTACTCACCAAAAGTGACAAACACGAAGAGACTTAGTCCTCGGGCGATAAGGGCTGGCCTGCTGCAGCCAGCAATGCAGCAAGGCAAAAATCTCTGCTGCTGCAGTGGGCCACAGGCCCACACAGTGAAGGAGAAATGCTGCAGAAGTACCCTTTTAAAGGAACTCTTAATAATGGCATTTGGAGCTTTCTTTGTTCAATGTTGTCTTAGTGAGGAGGATTGGAGGGAGTGTCTCTAGCTAGAATGGGAGACAAATGGAGGAAAACTCAGCTGAGTTTAGCCCACTAAAGGCCTCCAGTGGCCCCCAGCTTCAACTTGAAAAAAGGCTTTTGAGACGAAGTTCAAATGGAAAAAAAAGGACACGAGGGACTTCTCCCCAGCATGTGCTGGAGACTGTTTGGCTGCAACAGGGGCAGATGGCACACAGCCCGAGACGCTTCAAAGTTTCAAAATTCGGCTAAGTTCATCAATCCCTAAGACTGCACTGTGGGGCCCCAGGGGAGGCAGCAGGGCTAGCTGCTGCAGCCCCGGAGTCTGGAGGGACTTTTGGCCTCGATGGGCAGTCCAAAAGGTACTTCTTTTGGAATTGTAACTGGCTTTAGGGGCCTTCTTGTGGCAGGCCAGAGGCCTTATTATTGGCTCTCAGAGCAGGGGCCTCAAGGCCTTCCTTTGACTCCGAAAGGGCCCACTTAGGGGCAGCAGCAGCAGCTAAAAGAGGCCAAGTTTGTCTTTTAACTTTTGCACTCAGCCACCCAAACCAGCTGGCTGGCCCCACTATGGCCGCGGGCCCAGCGCCTTCTTCTGGGCCTCAGTTCGAGCTCTTAGCTTTAAAAACGGAAATTCATAAATCTGAAAAATGATTTTGTTTGTCTGAAAAGGGACTTCGTTTGTCTGGAAAGGGACTTCGTTTGTCTGAAAAAAGATTTTGTTTGTAAAAGAAATTTTTTTTTTCACTCCATTTATGCCCCCCAGGACTCAGCGGCTTCAATCTAGCTGCTGCAGCTCCGCAGCAGCAGCAGACAAAAACTGCCAAGTGCCCACGCAGGGGCCCCCGAGGCCCCCCGAGGCCCCCGGAGGCCCCCCGAGGCCCCCCGAGGCCCCCCTAGGTCCCTTGAGGCCCCTCTAGGTCCCTTGAGGCCCCCCGGGGACCCCCGAGGCCTCCCGGGGCCTCCCGAGGCCCCCCGAGGCCCCCCGAGGCCCTCCGAGGCCCTCCAAGGCCCCCTACGGGGCCCCCTACGGTGCCCCCTACGGGGCCTTCTACGGGGCCCCAGGTTCCCAGTAAGTGCTATGAGGCTTTGGGGAGCGGCAGGGGCGCTGCGGGCGTGGGGGCCCCCCAGCAGCGCAGCCCAGCGGGCAGCAGCAAAGAGCTCCATTGGCTGTAGGGGCCCCTGGGGGCCCCCTGGGGGCCCCTTGCTGCTTGCTGTTGGCCGCTGCAGCCCTGCGCAGCCAAGAGGGGGGCCCCCAGTCGAAGTACCCTTTTGAATGCTCTTAAGAATTGTTTAACTGGGTTTCTCGAAGTGCATTGAGGCTCAGTGAGCACTTGTGTTAATTTGAGAGGCTGTTATGCCCCTTTAAAGGCAAGTATCGGAGTTTCGGTGAAGTGCTTTTGTCGATTTCAGCTTTTATTCGCCAAGGACTCGAGCTGGAAGAGCCGCGGGAGCAGCAGGGCCTCGCAGGAGCTGCGGAGAGCTGCGGTGTACGTACACCTGGGGAGCGGGCTTGGGGTGTATGGGCAGGTGGGGCCCCGAGTTGAGGTGTACAGACACCCGGATTTCGGCGCGGCGGCGGCGCGGGAGTGGCAAAGAGGCAAGTGCTCAGCCTTCTGCCGAGGGAAAGGAGTTAGTGGTTTTAATTTATTGAAATATAATTTAAATTGCTTCTTTTTAGCTCCTTTAATGGTCCAAACTTCCACCTTTTGCCCCGGCTGCCTCCAGCGCCAGCGGCTCTTGCCTCTCGAGCGGCAGCTGCTGGCCTTCG